GATTTGCGCAACCATGGGCATTTGGCTGCGGTCTTGCACTTTTCCCTGCTGGAGCTGCCTTCGGACTGGCTCAAGGAGGATGTGGAAGAGCTGGCTTCCTGGCCTGCGTCTGGTGTGCTTGCCTCGGGTGTTGGCCACCTTGTTGAAGTTGTTTGCGCCGATTCAGAAGGAAGCGGAGTGTCTTCTATGCTTCTCGCCTTGCGTGCTGATAGGCAGTGCCTGTCCACTCTTTGGAATCTGCTTGGGCCCTGGCACTTAGATTTTTGTTCCCTTTTTGACCGTTACTGTTTGCAGAGTCTGCGGTGGTGCATTTTCTGCAGGCGGCTTTGTCTAGTTGACAGTCTATGTCGGACTTGTTGGTTCTCCGGGGATGGGGAGGGGGCGTGGTGGTCCTGCCCGAAAGGGTCGTGCCAGGGTTTAGGGTTCTTTCAATCGTCGTAAGCCAGTAGTGCCAGATGCAGGGCCGGTCCCATTCTGGACTTGTCCTGTCTGTGAACCCCTGGGTCTTTTGCCCCTCCTTTTGGATGACCACTCTGTTCCAGGTCTGGCTGCTTTTGGAGCCGGGTGCTTAGATGGTGTCCCTGGACCTCCAAGACTCATATTGGCACGTCCCAATTCATCTGGGGTTCAGGGACTGGCTCAGTCCTGTTGTGGGGCGACAGGTTTATGGCTTTCATTGCCTTCCATTCGGTTGAATCTGTCACCTCGCGTGTTCACATGCGAGGTGTGAACACCCAGGTCGTGTGTTTCCGTTCATGGTGTTACCCAGGTTGTGGTGACCTGTGTCTGTTATGGGTTCGGGTTCTGGCTTACCTTAATGGCTGGCTGATCTGGGCTTACAGCTTGTCTGCGTGTCTGCTTGCCAGGGATTTGGCTCCTTCCCAGCTCGCCGGGCTCGGGTTCTTGGTTAACTGGAGGAAGGCCCATTTGGTTCCTTCTCGGATTGGGTCTTGCCTGGATCTTGTGTGGGACTCTCAGACCACTTCCTTGTCATCTTCCAGGACCGATTCAGCTTCCAGATGCATTGCTGCGCCTGCAGTTCTGCCTTGGCTGTTTTTTGAGGGCACCCAGGTCACTCGTCAGGTATTCGAGCAATTGTACGGGAGTCTGAACTTTGCCGTGCTGGTCTACTTATTGGGTCAGATCTGGCTTCGGTGGCTGTTCTGGTTCCTTCGAGGACGTCCCTTCTGCCGTTCTCGCGATCACTGGGTTTGGACCCCAGGGGCCCTTGGGTCGGCTGCTGCGTCACCAGCTTACTCTTCAGGTTTTTCGGGGTTCAGGATTTTTGTTTTTTTTTCGGAGTGAGGGCCTGAGTAGGCGTGGCGCCTATCCAAGCTCTCACTCGATGTGTTCACAGATGAGTCGTCTCTCAGCTGGGGTTTTGTGACCGGTGCTCACCAGGCCAGCCAGGGTTGGTGGGGTCTGTCCTTCCATCGGCCTCACAGCACGGTGCGGGAGTTTGCGGTGGTGTGGTTTTCCCTTCGTAGGGTTCGTGTCGCTCACGGAGCGACGATCGGGGTCCATTCGGACTGCTCCCTGGTGGTTCATTGCCTGAACCGATGGGGTTCAATGTCCTTGACTCTTTGGGTGACTCATCTGCTGAGTTCTCAGGGTTTGGCTCTTCTGGCGGTTAATATCCAGGGGGTGTCGAACGTCCTGGTGGACGGCCTGTACCCAATTCACAATAATAATTGTAGGTAATTGTACCTACAATTCCTAATTGTACCTAATACCTGTACCTAATTTATACGTAATTCACTCAAATCTTAACACTTTAGTGCACGCGGCACTCGTGAAAAAAAAAAAAGCGCCTTGTGCGCGCGGCGTTCTGGGCGCTCAAGCGTAAACACAAAAAAGTGTATAATCTTTTCACGCTCCTAACATCAATTCTCGAGCTACGTTTTTCATTTTGGTATCAATGCGTTGGCAATAAAATTCTCTACAAGATCATATGCATAAAATGTCACCAAAGCATTTGCTATCCCACCACGAAGTAAATAAACACGAAGATGACATTTCACTGTCCTGACATTATTTCTCGAGCTACGTATTTCATTTTTATAGCAATGTGTTTGCAATAGAAAGTTCTATAAGAACATGGGTAGAATTGGCCAACAGAGCATCAAATAAATTTGCGGCGAATAAAATCTTACGCGTGTTTGTACCCGTGAGCGTAAAAAGTTTTTACTTTGCTCATGTTTTTCAAGTTTATACTTGTTTCATACCGTTTTTTTTGTTTGTATAGTGTTCAGAATAAAATTCTCTACACAGACATATGCATATAAATGTAGAATCATGATCGCGGCCAACACAAGAGTGTGTGGAGTGGGCGATTACCCTCGTTGTGTCACCAACTCAATAGTCTCTCCTCTAAGTTACAATACATTGCCGTTTTCTCAAATAGGCACTGTGCCTATTAGAGAAAACAAAAATTTAATGGCAAACATATTCATACAAACCCCAAGTCGATCGAGTAGTATATACCCACTATAACACGGACCGTAAATTTACGTCGTGATCCGACAAGCGCTTATCTAAACCGCCCGTAAATCCAAGTGAAGTTCTCAGAAAAGTGTTAAGTACTAAAGTACTGTATGTACAAGTTATTGCTTACCTTTATTGACGACTCTTGGGTGTGTATGGAAGACTGTGAGGAGGAGGAGAAGTGTTAGTGTTTGGAAGGGAAAGTTCTCTTCCATTATAACATAAGGCAGTGATGACATCCCTGGGGTACTCTCTCTCCTACGTTTTGCATGAGTACCACTAGGACTTGGTTGTGGCTCACTGCTTTCTTGTCTTACTAAGAATCTGTCTAAAGACACTAGTGTTCCCAACATTTTAACACTTGTCTGTAGTGAGACATCACATTGTCATTTAAAAGGTCAATGCAACGGCCTGCTACAACTTTATCTGGGGGAATTTTTTCAACAAAACCTTGCAGTTCTTCCTATACTTCACACATTTTCTTAATAAGGAAGGGACTTCCTCTACTGCCTCTACTCACAACTATTTTCTTATTTTCACTAATGAGGTGGATAGCATTCTGTGGCGGTGACAGATTATATCTTGTCACACCTCTCTCTTTGCTTGTCGTCCAACGTTCTTGCTTCCCAGCAAGTGTACACAATCCTACAATCATTTATAAACTAAATAATACTTTCAACTTGTAATATAAAAACTAAACTACTGTATACTGTATAGCATGTCTCCTCGACACTCTTCTACACTGCCGCTGGCAGTTTCTGGCAATTCTCAACCAAAGCCTATTTAACCAGGTGCGTTGCTTAAAAGATCGTCATTCGTCTCCTGCAATGGTAGAACACATGGCCACTGCTCCTTCCTGACAATGACACTCCGGCATCAAATACTCTCATGAAAATTATCTCTCATCATTCTCATTGGTTATGAAAGTTACTGTGTATCACTTAGAACCACCATACATTTTGCTCCACAGCACAGAGCTAGCCACAGTAAGTGCAAATTTCACGCCTCCAGTATGGGTGTGAGGACGTGTCGTCTACTAGACCAACATGGTGCCGGGTATCTTCTCTTGCCCCTGGGCTGTTCTCAGGCCCCTTGGCTGCCTTTGTCATTTTTTCCTTGACTTGTGAGTGGGAGCTTAAAAACAAGCATCCTCTTCTGGCACACCCAATACTTCGTCCACTCATTGGACGAGAACTGCTTGTGGGTTCCACAGAATTACCTCCGTCTACGACGTCGGTCTGGCTTCAATGGCTTACTCACATCGCTGTGGCACACGCATTAGCTGCCCCCCCCCCCTTCTACTGGTACTCTTATCACTGTCACTATTCACATGCCTCTTTTTGGCCATTACAAGTAGAATTCCCACCTAAAAACTGAAGGGCAATGAAATGTGTCTTTACCCTTTTATTTCCCACACATAGGTGAGGTTCCAGCCAATCAGTGATCCTCACCTCCTCCCACGTCGCAACTCTGCCTTCTCTTATTGGCTAATGGTGACATCATCCATCCATTCATCCTCCTTCTTCAGACTGCCTTCTGCTGTCCCCATTTTCCCCAAACTCAGCATTTTGCCCTGCACCACAAGTGTCTCGGAAGCTGATATCTCCTGTTCAATATAACCTCCAGTTTACCTTGTGTACCACGTACCATACTTTTGTTATCAGTCAGGAGCATTCAAGAATGAGTCATAACACTCGCACCAGAAGTGGGAGATATTATAACTTAACTGGGAATGATAACGGTGATCCTTCTGGCTTCTTGGTTTCTGGGCCTCAGGGCTCAGTGTTTGAACCTTTGAGGCACCATTGGATAGGTCAGCTGTTCCTTGATGGTTCGGGGTTTTCTGCCAATCTTTGGGTGTGCAATTTCTAAGTCAGGTGAATCACCGTTTGTATGATGGAGGGTCTTCTCTTTATGTTTTTCACCTTTTCCTATCTTTCTGCTGTTTGTCATCAATGTTGGTTGTCAGGTCATTTCTTGGATTTTTGTGGACTGTCCGCTGATGCCGAATACTGTTGCCTCTCATTGTTAAACTATGATGAAGCCCATCTTGTTGGTTTTTGGTGTAGACATCTCATCCTTGCTGTTTTGAAAGTTGTTTCTGGGTTTATTCATGGCCAACCAGCTCATTCTGCTCCAGTTTTTTTTTTTCTGCCTACGTGTTCTACCTGAAGTTTCTGGGGATCATTGTCCACAGCCCAGTCTCTGACCAGGCCTGCTGGTTGCTACCTAGGTGTTCTTTGCATTTTTGTGACTCCCTTTTGGCTTTTATGGTAGTTTTTCTAAGCTGTAGGCTGGTTGTGGCCCTGGTATACCGATGTATAAGCTCTGAGAAGCTATTGAGGGTGCCCGCACAGTCATTTCACCATACATGAAGCTCTAATTTTTAGTGTTACATAAGAGTTCAGTGTGAATCAGTCCTTGAATCTTTTCCTTCAAGGAGGTTTCACCTGTATTACTAATTCACCTTTATACTGTTTTTTTATTATTTCTGAGGATATATCTTTTCTTTACAGGGTATATGGTTATGTGAACACCGAAATGATGCTGGGCCTCGAAAGATTGTTGCGACTATAAATGGGTGCTTACGAGATGGGCGAACTCCTGTCTCTCCAATGTCTCCAATGGCATCAACGAGCAGCTAGAAGAACCCAACACAGGCATCTGAAGGTGTCTAGTGTGTTCTTATTGGCTGTGCCATGAATGCTACCAGTTATGGTCAGCGATTGGCTAAAACTAGTTTGTTGTGTCTAACTTGACAGCCCAAATGAATCCATTCTCCACAATTCATTGTGTCCCATTCCATCATTATGCCACTAAAATACCTGGCCTTCCGTCATCCAATTCCAGAACTTATTCCTGTGTTTCTTCTAGTTTTCTTAATTTGTGTTTTCTTCTAGTTATTGTATTTTTATTTATACCAAAACTCTTAACTGATAAAGCCTACCCTTTATAGTTATTTTATGTATTTCATTAGTTTACTAAACTATGATGATTTCTTCCTTATACATCTCTCTCAACTCAAAATATTCATAGTTTTTTCTTTATAAAACATTTCCACATGCTCTCAGTCTAATATTTTTTTAAGGTCTGCCTCCATTTTGTCCTGGTTTTCTTAAACATCACTCATTTCTTTCTTCATCTTTTCTCAGGCTGTGTACTCTCTTCCTTGCCAATGGGATATGGGCTGAGTTGCAACAGTGCTTAAGAAAAGTATAGCACATACTGGTACAAACCCATGAAGAAAAACTTGTGGTGGAACCTTTATTCTTCAGTGAAGGATAATTTACAATGACTTACCACAGCAGTTTTTCAGTTGTGATTTTTTCATACTTTTCATGAAACGTGTATATCGATTAACTAGCCATAAAACTTTGGCAGTTCACATTTCTAGCACTAAATATTCTCTGGGGTCCCAAACAAATAGAAACTCAAGGCAGTGAGAGCTTGGACCCCTGGAAGAGGGGATTCCGGTGAACAACCTGTTTGCGCCCCGCATATCAGCAGAGACGGCAAATCCAGGGTGTGTATCAGGTTCATTTCCCTGCTTTGGGCACCAAAATATGACAGTGTGGTTAAATTGACATTCGTGGACCTTACAAAGTCTTTCCATAGAGGTTAATTTCCCAACTGTATGCAATGTGAAACTTACTGTAATTGGAGGGGAGGAGGTATGCATCCAGTTTGGAGGATATTCCAGTCTGAGATTACCAGCACCTACCATCAGTGCCAGTCCTCAGAATTGCTGAGTTGTGACTTGATCACTTTTCTCAATTTGAGTTTATTTGAGCTTTTGAAGATTTTAGCCCTAATTTAAAAAAAGAGAAAAAGAAATGTATCATAAAAACATTAAATTAAAAGTCAAATTTTACATTCTTGGTTTGTTTCTACAAGTGGACATTGCTACTCAAACTGAAGTGGCATTGCCTAGTTAGTGTCGTGATCAAGTCACTTCCTTGCCCTTCACCATTGGTAGCCACCTCCCTCTTGCCATATGTAGGAGCATTTGGGCCTTTTTATTATTGCACTCAGATGGTTATGGTTGGCTTATTTATATAGATTTATAAGTGTAGTTGTTAATTCACCAATTTTAAAAACTTGTGAACTTCAACGACGGAACCTCACATGTAAAGAACTACTTTGTTTGATTCATTAGATACACTGCCATGGAAGGGAAGTATTTGTGCTCTTTACAATGAGCTTTGTAGAACTCTCTAGGTTGAATTCTTAAGGAACACCTCAATGCAAAGCTGCAGTCCATTACGTTACTAACATGTAATATTGTACGGCATAACTGTCGAGATGGCAGAAAGCTGTGGCAGATGCAGTTTTTGTGGATGGATTGACATTTTAAGAATTCAGATTAGATGGGCTACAGCATTGGTACTGGAAATTGACTTGAGCGTAACTGCTAGCAAGCAGTGATCAAGACTGACTGGTGTTGTGGAGTGAGTTTGGTATGTGCCACTTTGCTTATATTGTGGGCAGTGGCATATTTCAAGTAGATTAGCAATGTTTAACTCAAAGAGAAGGACTCCAAACTGTATGTTCAGAAGGGACACTTCAACAAGCCTTAGAAATTAACTTGAAGATTTAAAAAGATAGTGTTAAAGCTTTTGTGCCATTTTTTATACATAGATACGCTTTATATATACATATGTTGATGACTTATGAATTTATTTTAACATTTTATTGTGGATATGAAAAATTGATTCTTGAATATACCTTTATTCTTGATGTATGAAAAATAGTTAATGCCAAGAGAAATAGTCCTCATACAAACTTCTAATGAGGATTGAGAGCTTTTGTCACCTTTAAAGAAATTCTTGGCACGGATGGGCTATTATTAGCCGAGTATGATCAGTTACCACAAAGTATCTCGGACAGTCGTAAATCAGCTGGAGGCCACTCAGTGTTCCTAAACAAACAAAAATCAGATTGCTTCTATTTTTCTCTTCTATAAAGAGTAAAAGGATGTTGTCATGGGTCTCTCGCTTGTAGCACACTCGAAGGAGGTTGGTTTCCAGTTATATATTTGGGGCATGTTGCCATTATAAGGTTGTTGTATTTTCATTTTCTAAATGAAGTATACGATATTACTTTTAAGAGGTTAATTTATAATTACAGAAAAGGGGACATAAATTATTCTCAAGATTTTAGTGCAACACTTACAAGGTAAACAGTGGTATAAACAAACAATCGAGACAATATATGATTGCAAGTACAGTATTGTTAAGTATATCCACCTGACTTGCACATGATATCCTTTCCATTACTCTCTTATTGTGCATAACAAATTTTGTATCTTTTTACTTATGTTAATATATTATGATTATTGATCTGCTTCCTGGCTTGGTGCCTTCTTTTGATAATTACTTGTTAAGTAGCTTCAAGTAAATTCTAGATATATCCTTTGCTTAAGTTTCTGTTTAATAGGTGATTGTTTATCGGAGTTACCATTGAGGTCTTCTCGGTAAGAGCCTAACATTTGGTTAACTTTGAATTACAGCTCAAACCCAAAAATATTGGTGGATGGCTCTTCTCTTCTGTGCTGCAAGTAGCCGCTTTTGAGATGAAATTCGCTTAGCTTTAGATTGTACGTTGGTTAATTTAGCAAACCAGATCGTTTCTAACAAAATTACTCTGCTAGAGTTTTCCGACGATTAGGATTTAAAAATGTCATATGTATTTTAACATTTAGAAGAGCTTGCTTGCGTTAAGTCACCATAGGGTAATTCAATTGGAAGATTGTATATTTAAGTGAGTATTTCCACAAATTTTTCTAATGTTGTATACAGCTTTATCACAGATTTTGGTACATTGTGGCAAGTAGAAATAGTCCTTTATGAAGGGAGAGTGGAGAAGCATCTTGTCTTCCCAAGGAAACTTAGCACATTATTCCTTGAAATTGTTAAAATGGGAAATATTTTATCTTTATATTGGATCAGAGAAATCATAATTGAAGGATTCAGAGAACCTTATGATTTTTCTCATTTCTCACTGTTGGTGTCTTGTAGGGTACAACAGAGCATATATTTTCCACAGAATAATGAGAGATACAAATATTAGTAACCAAATATTAGAAAATGTAAAAAAAAAAAACTAAGATGTTTATAACCATTGTATTGAGATCATAAATATTTCACTTCATATTGGTTATTTTGGTAAAATATCTAAAAAGAGTAATATTCAAATTATTAATGCTTATTTGAAAACTGCAAATTGGGAACTTGCATTTGAAGACAATGCATGAGGATTCTCATGGAATAAAAATAATGGTGAATTGCTGCTCTGGTGTATCTGTTATTCCAAATGGGGATAATGCATCATTCTATAAAATTATATCTGCAAATTGTCACAAACCGAGGTTCTCCTCCTTAGCTACTGCACCTGAACACATATCAGCTAGTAATCATCTTTACAAATTTTGTCTCGAATACATTTTTGCATCACTCCAATATATTAACATACACGTTTAATTAGACCGCACAGATTTAACTTTATCGTGATTTCTCTATATCGTCTCTGATGGGATACTATCCACTCTTTTTTCATTTAACTTGTGATCAGCAAATGGGAGCCTTTGAGAGCACTTTAATGAAGACCTTATTTAATTGTGTTGTTGAATAGACAAATGTGCTACTTAGAACTGCTTTGTTATGCTCATAAAATGGTTATTCTTGGCACACATTTGCATTGGTATTTCTGCAAAAGGTAAAAAATCCGGCATTGGTGTGAGTATCTTTGTAGGGAACAAAACACCTCTTCCATCCACTTGCTTATTTACCACATTGTCAGCAGTCAATAAACCTTGAGTACAGGCTCAGCTGGGGTCACTTCCATGCCTGTGTTACATGGAGAGGACTTTCTGAGCTTTATTCCAACGGCAGCTACTGTTGATGTTATCACACTTACACCTTTTGTGTAGTTATGGCAACATTGACGTACTCTGCAAGGGGGCAAGTTTTGGGTGCAAGGAATGGAAGGCATATCGGTGCACCTAAACTGTTGCTACTACTACTTATGCTCATACTGACATTTCTGGACCTGGCATAAATTTTGAATTTGTTAAACACTATATTTAACAAGATTAAACAATGCTGGACTAGGCTCTTGGAAAAGAATTACTTCTTATTTTTGGGTAAAGAAAGCATATTCAGTATCTTGAAGGGGACAATAAAGAGTAAATCATCCAAGAATAAATACTGTCTTGAAAAGGTCTGTGATAAATACCTTCCATTGATTTTCCAGCTGAAACTATCCTCAGGCATCTGTGTGTGTGAAGTGGTGAACAACTCGTGACCTTGACCCGGGTGTGCGTGTGTGCACGGTATTCATTATTCACCTCATTACTCGTCGGCCGCCACTAGTCCCTCTTTTAGATAGGAAATTTTATGATCTTTGATATTTTTGTTTTAAATTATCTTCAATGAATGATTTTTATTTTGATCAAGTGATTTGAATGACGTTAATGTTCCAGTTATTTACTCAAGTGCTTGTGACATTACTAAATCAGGTATTTTTCTGGTGCATGTGACATTACTGAACCAGGTGTTTCAACATCAGTTAATAAAAACCAATCACTTCATCAGACAGTACTATATATTTGCATTTAAGCAAAGACAAACTTTTTTTTTGTTAAAGAACTTGTTAATATTTGTTTAGGTTTGTATATTTTATCTACATAGTCCAAATTGCAAATAATTTACGTAAATATTTAGGATGTTGACCCTTTTTCTGCATCTGTGCAGATTATGTAGGATTGATGCTCCTCGCATGAAAGAGAATTTATTGTTACATATTAGTTAATATTTTATGATTATCTGCAAAGTTACCTTTGATTTTCCTTAATTGGGAAAGGGCAGATGAATGTAGTCACAATGCCTACCTACCCCTATGCAGAGCTGTAAGCTCACCCACATAAACAAAAAAAGGAGATGTATTGATATTCAGCATATGGAAGAAGGCAGCATGAGATATTTACTTTTTAGCTATTAGACAAATCCTTGCACCCGGTTCGTTTTTGTGAGGTTAATCATTAAATTTTGGATTTTATGAAGGATTTCATGAGTTTTTCCAAGTTTTAAACTTAACTGTTTAAGAAGTGAACAGTAATTAATTTTACATTAGATGATTGGACACCAAGATTAATAGTGTTAATAGATTATCTGTTGGCTGCCCTTTTTTTCTAAACTCAGTTTAGAAAACTCATTTTAGTTGACATTGTTTTTAACTTATACTGTAATGAACAAGCAGGAGCCATTACCACTTAATATCAATTTAATACCATCACCTTGAATACTTAAAAAGTCTCTAAATTATCCCTAAACAAATTTTTTTTTTTTTTTTTTTTTACATTACATTCAAGGTTAAGAATTGTTTTACACTGCATCTTTGTTGCTGCTTATCTCAAGGGCTATAGCAGTTTTATCATTTTTAATTCCATTTCCAAAGAATTTTACCCACTTTTAAGGCTCTTTATTGTTGATTATTATTTAATTAAGTGATCATTGTAAACTTGTTATAACATGTGCCCTTTGCACTGTGTGGTGCAGCGAGAGTGTTGCGTGTCTCTAGTCCAGAGATTCGTCTCAGTCTGTTAATGGCAGTGATAAGAAAATGTGGTAATAGGAAAGGATTTTTTCTATATTTCTTTTTTATTGTAAATTAAAAGAGGACAATTTTATACCCATGTAGAGTTCCTGGACTTGTGGCTTGCAACATACTGGACTTGAATGACCTTTCTAGTATGAAGCACCTGACTGCTGCAACAGGCTTTGGTGTATCTGCAAAAAAAAAAAAAAAAAAAAAAAAAAATATTGGACCTGTATTAAGTAGGCACACTGAAGTCAGATGATACAGTTATGGGGAAACATTATCAGCCATTGGGGTAAGCCATTACGTACCTTGTATTTCATTATTTTTCTTGAAGTGTACTAGCTCAAGAAATATGTGAAATGTGGAGAGGGAAATATATGGTTGTATTGTACTATATTGAAGTGTACCAACTGGTGGACACTTATGATTGAAAGGTATCGTGTTCCTTGAGTGTGTCTGACCTAATTATGGACCTTAGTCATGAATGCCAAGAGTTTTGTTAGTTTTATCTCCTTTAAGGCTTTAGAGAATTTTGTAAGAGCTCAGATATCTAAAAGTTGGAGTTGTAGCAAGTGTCAACAGCTCCAGTTTTTATAGCTTGTTTTGTGGCACTGTTGTAAGCAGTGCCGAGAGCAGGTCGGCACTGGTAGTGTTGTGGCTGGAAGCTGGACAGTGTGTAGTGTTATATAGGCTGTATTTTTGTACACACTTGATATGAACACTTGTACACATATACTGTTACATACAGTACACAAATGCATGTAAACTAATACATACTTTTATCAACTTGTAGTGCCTGACTCCTCTTGACTTGCACAACTCTTCCAATATAATGTTCTCATTAAATTTTTTATAATAATAGTCTTTGTTATCAATGATGCTGTGCAGCTTCATTGTTGTATATTTTTGGCGTAAACAAATTCATGAGTATTTACCGCCATCATGTGAAAGAAAATATAACTTGACAGCTTCCAAGATTTGACAGGTGTCAAATGCGACTTCCAGACAAGTGATTCTTTTCTCTGTTCAGGTTTTGAATGACTGCAGTAATGTGTTTACCAAATATTCCAATTTGATGGTTCTTATGTATTGCCTTGTAACATGGTCTTTGAAGTTCTCTTCTTTACTGTGGTATTTCTTTATAATCCAAATCTTTCTTTATTTTCTATCTTCTCTTTTTACATTTCACTATTATATCTTGTGTTCCTGGTTAATCTTACCGGTGAAAACAAAGCTTCTAAGTAGCATCTCAGGATGGGGAACGATACAAGGTTCCTTTGGTTCCAACAAATCTACCCTGGCTTCCTAACCATAATGTTTGCTTCCATAGTGAAAAGCCAAATGTAGGTATCTTCCATATGTAAAGTCAAGAGGGGCCAGCTTCCAACTTGGGCCCGGGCTGTTGTTCTTGGTCCAGAGTTTCCATACTAATGGTGCCAGCAGCTGTCTGGCCTCCAGCCACTGCCTGCTGCTGTAGATAGAGGGGAGAGTGGAGTGGTCACACAGCTGGCTCAACGTGAACTCCGGCCAGGAAAGCGTGGAATCTTAATTTTTGTTCACTTGTGTTTAGGTAATATATATATTTTGGGGGCTCATTTACATTAATTGCTTATACACAGTATGAAAAATACATGTTCGAGACAATACAGAAATGCTATTGGTAGACTGATTTTCATCATGGCTCATTGTTCATCTGCAGCTAAAAAAAAAATAAAAAAAAAAATAAGCTTAATGAACTTCAGCTACCTTTTTAAGGTTCCTGGCCAAATACGTTGAATTAGTTTCCGTAACATTTTTTTTTGCTGCTCTGTGAACCTGAACCATCTCGTGTGGTCCCCCGCCCACTGCAATACATGAACGTACATGAGATACACACACACACACACACACACCTTGTACACTACTGTTCTGTACATAGTTTGCTGATAAAAGCATTGTGAATATTGTAAACTATATCCAAGATGAAACCTCAAAAATGGCCTGGGTTACTCTAGGGTGTGAGTTGTACGTTTCATCTCTCCCATCATCATTCTCATGGTTATGGGATTTTCCAATCAACTAAACGGTTCATCTGCGGGTGTCATTGTCATGCTGAGAATTTGTCTGTAAACAAACCTGGTTACTGACATTCAAGATTATATATATGTAACTATATATATAAATTTATTTATATATATATATATATATATATTCTTTTGTTACTGTACCTAATTCTATACATTGGGAAATGGTAATTATACTTTTGTTATATTTCTTTATATGGGTTCTATTAAAAATGTCTTATCCATATGCATAGTTAAGCCTCATGTGGATTTTTTTGTAGGTCTTTTTATTTTTGCCATGTGTGTTTATCTTGGTTATTATGACGATAGATTATTTTGTTTATTGTACCATACATCCCCAACTTAATTGTTTTCTTTAATAGCAAACTTGTATTCTTGCTCCAACTTGGCATTTCTTACACTTGCCTGTGACTGGCCACATTTCATCATCACCTAAATGGCATTCACCTTCTGGTCATAGTCATCACCATCTCACCACCTTTTCTCCATGTTAACAAGATCCCATTGTCTTGTATTCTATATTTTTTGTACCACTCTTAATGCACTGATTTATTGTATAATATCAAAGGCCAGAGTGTGTTGTTGATCTTGTTTTTATCATGTTATATATTGGTATAATTACACCAATGACTGTATTGCTCAGGATGCATGTTGTTTGCAGGTTTAATTACTCAGAATACTAGTTGTTAATATTTTTTAGAATGCAAATTCTTGATCAAAAGATGGTAACCATAGCGAGTAGAGATACAAGACAAGACAAAACATCTCACAAGTGCTAGTATCCTGGGCAAGTGCATCTTTGTGGGTCCTGAGCGATAAGAAATTGGCTTGTCATGTTGCTTCAAGGATATTTTAATAAAGTTAGAAATTCCTGTATGGGAATGCAGAAATTTGTTGGTCTTTGTCTTCGGTAACATCGTACAAAGTGTACTAATTATATAAAATAAGGCACATCTTTGGATGGAAGAGTGCCTCTTGATGAAAGACAGGAAGAATTTTTCAGCCACAGTGGGGTAGGCAGTGAAGTTGAGACCGGGAACATGCAGGAGAGGTCTACACACACACACACACACACACACACATGCCAACCCATGGTGGACAGGCCACCGAACTTTCAAACCCCTCTCTCTCTACACCCCGCATCCTCTTCCAGAATTTCACCTCCCCCATCCCTCTACCTCCCCCATCCTTTCCAAACCCTTTGGACATCAAAGCGAAAGAGGTCCTGCAAGCATAGTGTGCTGTAGCTCCTGCACATTTTCCCCTCTAGAATCTTATCATGAAAAAAGTAGAGCAGTGGTGAGCTGGTATCTCCATGAAGTTTTTAAAAGTAGAATGTCAATTACTCTGTTCATAGAACCTTAGCATAGCTGAAAACTGGTGTTTTCAGGTGAAAGAAGCTAGACTGGTTTGTCATCACATGAAAGGCTTAGACACATTTTGAGAACTGAACACGTCTGTAGGAATACACCTCGTTGCCACTCTTACAGTTTGATGGTATGGACATCTTAGTGCTTTCCAAAAGTGAAAACATTAACAATGTTCCTTTCACATTCACCAGTATTGTTAAACCAAAATGTGAATTGACACTTAATATGTGGCAGTTTCTTATCTTTCTTATGTTGTATATTTGTTTAATGATTTCATTTCTGATTCCATGCTATCTTTTGTTTACCATTATTTACTAGTGTACGAGAAAAGATGAAACTGTTCTCTTCATATTTAGACGGCTAGAATTGCAGTGTGCATCTTTTCTTTTTATACTTTCGCATCTATATTCTCATTTACTGTACTTTTGTGTATTCTATATTCTCATTTACTGTACTTTTGTGTATTCTATATTCTCATTTACTGTACTTTTGTGTATTCTATATTCTCATTTACCTTTGTGTATGATATTTATCTCACACAGTGGTATTGTCATTCCTCACCTTTGTGTGTGATGTTTACCCTACACAGAATAGTTTTGTCATTTCTTTACTCAGCCGAGCCTGCAACAACAATAATCAACAACTTGTCATATCTTGTCCATCATTCTATGCTGTACCATAAGTTACTGAAGTTCTTGCCTTAGAATCATTATTTTCATATACTGTAAACAAATTTTCTTCCAATATCTATACATGGAAAGAGACCTTTATTGTCAGTTTTGATTTAAAGGATATTAAAATATAAAATAATTTGTCCTTTATAACCCTATCAAAATTATCTTCTTTGATCTTCTCCTTGACTACTTTCTGATGTTTATTTATTTACTTATATACAGTATACAATACATATTGCTATTTTAGAAGCAGTCATTCATTTAGACGAGTTAATGAATATGACTGGAAAGAATTAGGTCAGTGTTTCTACCTCAAACCTTTTAGAGGATAGCCCCTGGTGGCTCCCTGAAGCCATCTCGCTGAGATTGCCTCTCATTACTGAGTAAACTATAGGAGCCATGTCGGTCTACTGGGAATTGGAGCTAGAGCCTAGTCCCCTTCATAGAGGTGCAAAAAGCTAGGGATTATGATCACCTACCCCCCAAAAAAAAGAATGCCTAAAGCCCAATGACTCTGCCAACAAGCATGGATCAAGGAATGAATGAATGGGTAGAAGTCGGAATAAGGAACGTCATTGTCGGAAATAGGACAAGTGCAGATAGCTTCCTAAGCAGCAGCATCCACACGCTCATTTAAGGAAATGCCAATATGGCAGGAAAGCCAGCAAAACTACTCTTAAATCTGCTGGAGATAAGAAACAGCCACTGTTGAATTTCGACTAACACAGGATGGACTGAAGTAAATGACTCCAGAGTCATGAGGGCACTACAAGAGTCAACAACAACAACAACAACAACAGGAAAATTGACAGCAAGAAAGCCGTTGACAAAGCGCATAAAAATATTGCATAAAGGTCTGCCGTGAAGATGCTAGTCTCTGGTGGCAGGTGACATATTAGGTTAGGAAATACAACGTGGTTAGGAAATACAACGGAGTAGCCAACACAGTTGGCAGACTTGAACATTCTTTATACAGAAGAGGACTACCATAGAGGGACGAAGAATGACCTGCTTCAGAGTTATCTCAAGGTTATCTTAAGTTGATTTCGGGGCTTTAGTGTTCCGTGCCTCCTCCACCCCCAGGAAACAGCCCATGACAGCTGACTAACTCCCAGGTACAGTACCTATTTACTGCTAGGTATAAGGGTCATAGGGTGAAAGAAACTCTGCCCAATGTTTCTTGCCGGTGCCCGGGATTGAACCCGGGACCACAGAATCATGTGTACAGCGTGCTGTCCGCTCGACCGGCCGGCTCCCGTAAGAGTAAGTCATAGCACTAGTGTTAGTTGTAGAGAACTTGAAGCCAGGATGACACGGCATCAGTCATAAGTTTCACCTTTCCTCCACCGCCGGCTTCACCTCGACAGCAGAGGGTAAAAGTGCTTAGAAAATTCCAGAGGGAAGGGGGAAAAGAAAACCACTATGGGCAACCAGGAAAAAAAAAGGAGCACCGAGAACTCTACCTTAGGGTACACCGTATTGCTGAAAGAGTGGTACCAAGCCTTTGAGTGCACTAGAGGGACATGTCCTGAGGAAAGTCCACAAACATTAACAGCATTAAATTCCCCCAGGTTCCAGTCGTTCGTTGAGATATACCACTCTAGGTAGCCTTTGACCAATGCCAACTGCATTAATTTGGTACCTCGGTTCAAGATTGTTAGACCTCACTAGCTAGGTCAGCCTTGAACATATGCAATACCACTGTCTATTCACTTCATTCACTGGCTACTTACAGGTTAGCTAACAATAATAATTGTTTATTCATTCTGTTCAATGGTCACATGCAGGTTAGCTAATACCAATAGTCACCGTCCATTCACTTATTCCACTGGTTGCTTGCAAATTGGCTAATAACGACAATAATCGCAACCGTCATTTGCCTCTTCACAGGCAAAAGTCAAATAAAATACTCTAACCATTGCCTTAGTTTCATCCTCACCTCTTCCTAGTGGCTGCTGCTTGTGTGGATCAACTTTTAGGCTTATGATCTCTACTCTTGCTAGTCGGGACTGCCTTCGCAACTTGGCAGTTACTCATTCACGTCGATCAACTAGTCAAATAGTACTTACACTCCCCCTCTATATTACATCAGGCTTGCTGTTGGATGTCAACTCAGCTGATCCAATTCTCTTCTAATTACCATCCAACCTTCTCCAAAAAACTTCCAAATGCTTAATATATGATCAGAGTACTGGGTAGCGTAGCTCTCATCCTGTAACTACACTTAGGTAATTTCCAAGTGAGTGGGTTCAAATCTTCCTCATGGCTGATTTTCTCTGTGATGTATTATTCAAAAGGACATGTTGGATAATTACTTACATTCCATTAGATGATTGGTTGACCAGACCACACACTAGAAACTGAAGGGATGACAACGTTTCGGTCCGTCCTGGACCATTCTCAAGTCGACCGTTTCAAGTTTCCAGGACGGACCGAAACGTCGTCGTCCCTTTAATTTCTAGTGTGTGGTCTGGTCAACATACTTCAGCCACGTTATTGTGACTCATCGCCTGCAGATGATTGGTTCTTGCACAATGTGCATGAAACCTGTCAGCAGCCTTTCTTGGTACTGTTTCAGAGTATTTTTTTTAGTACTTTTCAGAGGACCACGAGCTTATGGCAAGCTTTATTATTCTCAATTCATAGTAGGATTGTAGATGTATTCTTAACTAATGTGTCTCCTTCCTTGAAGGTATGGCAAAGGTTGACTTTCCTTCCGGTAGATTTAGAATTCATCATTTAAGAGACCTATCAAAAATGCAACTATTTTAGAGTTCAACATTATTTTCAGACACAAATGCTGCAGTACACACTGAATAAAAAGTCCACAATAGTGTAAATATGCCTTAAAAAAATTCTAAGTCAATGTAAGGACAAGGAAGAAGAAATAAGAAACCACCAAAACACTTATCGAGTATTAATTTTCATTAGTGAAGGTGGATTAAAAGAATACTTAACTCAAAATTTATTTACAAAATGTTTACATCAATTATTTTCAATTGATAATAACCTCAATACAAAAACATTTTGATACTAAAAATTAACAATAAAAAGAAATTTTAAAAGAAAATTATACTATTGTGATCTAAACTTGGTTTGAAAACAAAGCAGAGTGGATCTCGTTATATATACTGTATATAAAAAAAATCTAGACTTCTGTATAAACAGTTCTACTTAAATGATTATCACTGAAATCACTGCAAGTGCTCTAAACACTGCATACACTACATGTTATCCTCAATTATCTCTTGAAGATACCCCAAAAATGCATATTAGAATGTTTGAAAATTATGATTACCTAAGTAGCCATCTCCAAGGACCATAAATTTATACATTTATAATTTATTGTCACACGGTACCAACATTCAGAGGTAAGCTATTTATACATAGTAGTAATATAATAGTGGTTTGTGAATTATTTGTTCATAAACCACTATTATAGAAGACTATCTTTGATACCAGTATATTTTCCATATACAGTACTCTACGTGTAATTACCCAAGTGTGCACTTGGACAGGTTTTTGCACACACTCGCACTGTACTACCAACACGGATGATAGGTGAACAAGAGACAGGTGGAAACTTAGTACCCAAATGAGCCACAGGGACATTAGAAAGAACTTTTTCAGTGTCAATAGTTAACAGATGGAATGCACTAGGCAGTAATGTGGTGGAGACTGACTCCAAACACAGTTTCAAATGTGGATATGAGAGCCCAGTAGGCTCAGGAATCTGTACAACAGTTGAGAGGCAGGACCAAAGAGCCAGACCTCGACTCCCGCAAGCACAACTAGGCATGAACCAAGTGGCTTTCAATTGCAGCCTTAGCACAAAGACAAGCCCTATCTAAAGCCCAAACGCAATGCAGCCGAAACACATCTATCATAAATAAAATAGCTGCAATGTGTCTCAAAGCCACACTACACCATGAGGCCATTTGCCACACACCTGTCAGCACCTGATGCAGAGGTTTTAAATAGCAGCTCTCACTAGTAATGGGCACAAGTCTTCATCCACAATACCTTCATACTGCAGTAGCCCTCTGCCCTGTTGCCCTAATTAACACCGATTTTTTGTGTTTTTGCAGCAAGGTAGACGCAGATAGATTTGCACTGCAAAAGCACAATGGGCTGGCACTTTAGGAACAGCAAAAGTAGTAACAAGAAGATTCTTGGCACACCTGGGTGCCCAGCAAAGAATCTGTTTCTAATGTCCTACACCTAATTATCAAAAGGCACCAAGCCGGGGAGACTATGCAGCACCATCCATAACGCTGGATATTCAAAAAGCTGTAAATATCACCGAGGATGCCGGTTTGAAAACAAAAGCGCACAAGGCGAACAATATCAAAGGAATCCGATTCACAAAGAATTCTATCGAAGGACAAATGACCACGAGGAACAGTCGAGTAGCAAGACACAAACTTCATGAAAACCAGGACATTCAACAACAACTAAGTGGGACACAGTAGTTCTGACAATAAGGAGCAGGACAGTGTTCCATTAACTGCCCGTAAGCGAGGTATATGTGGCCAATACATAACCTCCAGAGCCGTTTCCCACTGCTGGTTACAGAGGTAGGAGGAAGGCCAAGGGGACAAGCTACCTTTAAGAGCATGCAGTTTGTTACCAGTATGAACATTTATTCCCACCTGGCCATAATGCAGTTACAGAGAGAACCTTAGTTTTCATATGCAAATGCTGTAACTGTTAAGTCTAGATGACATCATGCAGAAATTCAAATATTACTATGAGACTACATTGTCAGCGTCAATAATGTCATATTTTGTTTTGTCTAACTAAAGTATTTTAAGTTTCAAGTCAATATGATGAGGCATTCAAGATCTCAACAGAAACCTACCTCAAGAAAAAAAAAGAAAAATGAACACGGCATATCCATAAGGTATCCATAGTGGGATACTTGCAATTACTCATGATTATGTTGAGCGGTTTCATAAGGCTAAATATACCAATGTAGTGGATTACAAGACTATGAAACCCATATAAATACAAGTTTCACAATGACCAGAGTTAAGCTCAGCTTGCATTATGTTGCTTTAATCCATTAAGATCATTGTAATGTAATAATTGATCATTAGGCATATATCCTAGAGATCTTGAGGCTGCCAATATTTCTTGGTGTATTACTGGGAAAGGATCTCCCTTACCACACACAAATTTCAAATCGGGAACATGCTCTTTCACATACTTCAAATGCGATTCATACATTGGCCAAACACAGTGTTCAAAGTAACCTGGAGGATCAGGAGGATTATAAATACGAGAACTTCTCCTTTCCCAGCATAGTTTGTGATTCAGTGTGAGGAAGTATCGAAGGTCACACATCTCTGCCAATTTATCATCACCAAATAACAAAAATCCTTCCAAGAGCAAAACTGGTAAATTTCTAACATGAGAGTCATTTAAGCATGAGAGACCTCTCTCACTGGCATCTGTCTTTGAAATTGCTGTTTTGATATTTGGTTTGAGAGTTGACTTTAAAATCTCTGTAATATCCCTAATCATCTTGTTCATATCCAAACTTGAAATTACATCCCAATTGTGATGAGGTAAGCCTCCTGGACAGGGAATGTGTTGAGGAGAGTCTTCTGGGTAGAAATAGTCATCCTGGCAGATGATTCTTGTTGTGTCGGGGAGGACCTCCAGCAATTTCTTGGCCAGAGTCGATTTCCCACTATTTGTAGCTCCTGAGATACCAACAATAAGCCAGCGTGACATGATTAAAGCTCTAACAAGTAATAAAACACAATGAATTGTGAATATCCACTCGTGTATTTGATAACTTATTCAGGGTAAAAAATATATTATTTTGTCCATGACATGCAAAAAATATTAACCTATGCCATGTCAAAGACGAATAAGTTCATACAATATATATACTAAGTGATTAATGTTAAACATACCATGCATGTAAACAAAAAATATAATGGATGCCAATCTCTGAGTAACATCTATTTTATGACTAATCCAATTTCTCTCTCTCAATCTTGTGAGCCTTATACAGGGCCCCAACAATGTAAATCCCCGTAAGAGTTAAAAGCAACACAAGAATAACAGCAGGGATAATGATGGCTATCAGAGGATCAGGAAAAAATGTTCTTAAGGAGCTATCCTCATCCACAAAAGGTAATCCAACAACCCAAATAAGGTAATACGAGACAACAACAGCTGCCACTCCAAGCACACACTCGCCGATCACTTTGTCATTCCCAAACATTGACGTCTTATGGAATCTGCATCAACAGTCCTTAAAAAAAGATCTCGCATGTACACCAGTATTTCCCACGAGTTGTTATGATAATCTCCCAGTAGTTAAACAACTTCTGCAATCACACATTCAAGGCATTTGTAATATCCACCGTATGGAACCTTTGCCTTCTTTTCCATTAACCGTGCCAACCCTGAAAATCAAGCGTGAGAATTGGAATTAACACAGGCATAAATCATAAAACAAAGAATAACAAGTGACAAAATAAGAAAGAGATATCTGATAATGACAAAGGCATACATGGGTGATGGCACGAGGTTATACAGATCGTACTCGGAGCCATAGAGGAAATTCCACACTGTTACTATCACAAGGCAACTCACAAAGACAAACAAAACAATTTTACCAGTTAGTCTTTCATTCAAAGCCATTTCTTACGGGTTTAGATCAAAAGTGAGTTAGGGGGAACAAAATTACCATTTTAGCATATGCAAGCAGTTTAAAGAAAATATAAAGAGATAAATAGATACAATCTAAAACAAACCACACACCAGTCAAATCAATTGAGCCTGAATTTACAACCTCAGGTCTTAGCCTACTACAGTATCAATATAGCCATCTTTCAACCGAGCTTCATAGTGTTCTTTAATACTTTGCCATACCTTTTAAATCCATTGTTAACTATGTCTAATAAAAGATGAGGATATGCAGCCAATACTGAAGGTAATATTAAGGACAATAGTTCTCTACAATACACTGAAGACACCTTCACCACTACCCTACAAGTTACAGAGGAAACTTTTTTTTTGTTGAAATAAAAACCTAGAGACTAGATGCACAATATAGGTATGCAACTAAAAAGGAAACAATTCCAACAGCTCACTGACAAGTTGCTAGTCTTAGTTTTGCTAATGCATTTAAATATAATTTCAGTATAGAATACTTTTATAGAATTCAATGGTTTAATTCATGCAATTAGTTAAAAATAATCTTGATTACAATTCCACAAACAATCATATTTGTCAGTGAACAGCATGCAACACTATTACTGCACAAATATCTACAATCATTCCATCTACACATACAAGTATAGCAATACAATGGAAAGAATTACCAGGATTTTCAGGGTAAACCGACTGCACCCATGCAACACGTTTAACTAACAAAACCACCTTACGAACATTTCCAAGCACTGGATCTGCAAATTTGGAGATTACTGATGGAGATTGAGGAAGTCAGTAGAGACGCAGCCAATCTTTATTCATCTTTTCAAAATCTTCATCGGTGAAAACAGAAGCTTCTTCTGAACCACGTTTTTTACTCTTCTGCCCCTGACCAAGATCAGGACAACCACCCTTCCTATCCAACTCTTTAGAGTGATGACTTGCAATCTGAGGAAACATAGAATAGCTTTACCATTGCTTGTCTGTTCTACCGCAGTACTTTTGCCTTTTCACTTTAAACTACAGCAGCACAAACCTCAGCCAGAACCAGAAAATACATACAGACTTCATGCTGCAGTATGGAAACCCCCTTTGCTCAACATGGAAACTACCCTCCCCCCGCCAATCCTCTACCATGATTTCCTTATGTTTACCAATCAGAGTTACGGGGGAGTGAGATGTAGTGCTTTATGCCTACTTTACTAGCCATTTGAGGGGTCTTCTTGCAGCATAATACTGTACAGTCCAACTCAATTCATTCTCATTTTCTCTCATTAATTTGGCATCATCTACAAGCTAATGCTCTCCCTCTGTTGAATTTTTCATTATATTTTCTGGGGTGAACCCTTCGGCTTCCCGGAGCTTACTAGGCTGAAATGCTAATGTCAGGCTTTGGCATCAGTCATGTGTATGGAGTTCTAGGTACTTTGGAGTACTACGCAAGATTTAAACGGCCCGCGGATACACGGGGTTCACCACACCATCAGGGCTCTTGTAAACAGACGCCATTTTTTTAAAAAATCGTGGGCCAAATTCCCGGGTGTTAGGGGCCTCAGTATTGAGCGAGCTACCAAGCCTGGCATGAGCTCACAGCACTGCAGTTCAGCTTGTGACCACAGCATCGCCTAAAAATGCCACAATATACTTGTTCATGCTATTATGTAGCGATGATATTATTACAGAAGACCCCTGACTATGATAAAACTGACCAGGGTTCTGATAATAGTAGGATTGTGGTGATATTTAGCGCTGTGTTCCATGGAGGGAGTAGTAATGCTGTGGGAGGGAGGGTAGTGGCGTTGTCTTCCGACTGTGTGTGGCCACCTTTTATTGACTGCACTCACCATACCAGCTTAGTGGTTCGCTATGGTGAATACAAATGTAGATACTTATATATAACGTGTGTATAGAGGGTATAAACAGCAAGAGGAGTAGGTTGGGAGCCGCCATTTTGGTGAGGGCGGTGCGTCGTCTGCACGACTTATCATGTTTACTGGTGGCCATTGTTGGAGGAGAAATATTAGTGCGCCTGGCCTTGAGGGCGGCAGCCACCAGCTGACTGTGCGAGTAGCTACGTCTTTGTGCCTTTATTCACCATACAAGCTTAGATGTACAGTTATGGTGAACAAAACATGTAAATACTTATATATAACATCTGTATATAAAAGCAAAAACAGTATGGTGGGAGGAGAATGGTGGCAAGTCAGGTGAGGTGAGGGAGGGAGGGAGGGAGTGGCAGCCAATGGCAGGCTGCCACTGCCACTCAGCATACCAACTTAGTGGTTCGTTATGGTGAACACGAATGTAGATACTTATATATAACGTCTGTATATAGTGAATAAAAGCAAAAACAGTATGGTGGGAGGAGAATGTGGGCGAGTGAGGTGTTGAGGGAGGGAGCGAGTGGCTGGCTGGTGTGAGGCGGTCACTCCTCGTTACATTTTGACTCATAATAGCAACTTAGTGGTTCGTTATGGTGAACAAAACATGCAGATACTTGTATATAACCTGTGTATATAGTCTTTTAGGGGAGTTCTATCCACTTGTTCGGCTTTTGGTAGCAAAATTTTCACTGGAATAAGGATTTGTTTGGGGATGCTTACCTTTCTGGGTGCCTGACCCAGTCAATGGCAGACATAGAATGCTTTCAACCACACGGGGGTTTCTATAGGCCATTGCTCCCCATGCCTCTCTGAGGGGGCCAGGTTCTGGCTTGTGGGCCCCGGTAGGCCCACAGAACTCCATACACATGACTGATGCCAAAGTCTGACTTTAGCATATCAGCCTAGTAAGCTCTGGGAGCCTCTGGGGAGCCTCCTGGTCTCACCCAGAAAATAGCGTTTCTTTACATTCAACGCTGGTTTTTTTCTTAAAAGTTGTTGACAAAGTGGCTTTGACAACTTTTCTCAATGTATTCCTGTTGACAAACTGTACGGGTTGTGGACAATATCCACCATTTTATCACCTAGTAAGTTATTTAGGGTTCACAGATTGTGAGCTTCACCTAGCAACAGTTAGCTAGTCTAGTCAGATGTGATGTCATGCAACATCACGACACTAACAGCTAACTGTATCCATCTAAATTCTACTCTTAGTTGTATAAATTATTTCTTTAGTAGCATCATCTTTAAAGTATATCTTAATTCAGATGTTAGAACATTGATCGAATTAGGCAGGTATATTTTTCTAAAAGGTTGATAATTAAATAATAACTAACCACCACCCCACCCCACCCCCCCGCCATTTAATGCCAGTGCTACATACTCCTGTAAATGTTTTACATAGACAGTGCATATGGGCTTGAATTTCAACAATTTCTGTAGTATTTCACCATCCATGAATTTAAAAATTCCCTCATTTAAATCGTGAGACAAAATAATTGTTGGTTCACTACTGTAATTGTGAGATAATAGGTGAGAGCTCTGGACCGTGCTTATCTCGACGTCCCATTATAAAACTAATCAGGCAACAGGGACAGGCTGAAAATTCCAATGATTAGAAACACAAACTGCTTGTGAAGCACGATTAAAATTAAAATTAGTAGCCATTCAAATCAAAATCAAATAGAAAATCACTACAAAGGATTAATGGAATAAATTCCACTGATCACTTATCAAGGAAATGCGATCTTACCTGTTCAATATACTCTGCGGGTGCCCTTTTCTTGTCAATCTTTTTCAGAAACTTAATGTTGTCACGTGTGCGATCAACATGTGCATATTTCTTGTATTCATCGAGGGCACTCGCTACCTGTAGAATATTAAATTACTCTAAATATTTTTCTTATTTGAAGAATGAGCAATGAACAATACACAAAAGAAGAACGAGCAATATTTTTAAACCTTAAATACTCAAAAGGTAAAATAATTATGAAGAAAAAGCACTAAACTTTGATATACTGAAGATATAATTTCAACAGGCACTAACCAAATGCTAATGTACTAACTTCTGGAATAGTACTTTGGTTATCCTATTGCATGTGCTTGTCTTTTGTGTGACCAGTAAAGTAGTGATGTAGTACACATTTAGAGAACAAATGGGAGGATAATTTTCAAGAACACAAAATTACCCAGAAAGGGAAATTTTACGACATCAAAAAGTGCAAATTAATTAGGACGAGAAAAAGAGAAACATTTAGGTACAGAAAAGCAGCAACGCTGTAAAAATAATGTGTTGAATTTTTGTTTAAGCCTTTTTGCTCAACATCTACAGCCAATAACAAGTCCTAATCTGGCTGTCTAATCCTTGGGAAATATTAGCCGCACACAGTTCATTTCCCAACAAGCATTATATGTTCCTTAACCCTTGTAAGTTAGACACAACCACTAACATTCTGAGAATAATAATATACTTATTATTTGGTTAACTAATGCCAGTGTACAACTTGACAGTTCAAGATACCAGTGAAAAATACAGTACAATCTAGGGTTAACAAACATCTTGAGAAAAATAATAAATAATCCAATAAAACAAGACTTTCCTCAAAAAGGAAGCAATATGCATAATAATTTAAAATTGCAAATAGTATTAAGAGTGTTGTAATAAACGTACAGTACTGTATTATGAACAAAGGCCACAATACAGACCCCAAACTGACTTCACACTGATGCTATAACACATTGCTTCCTATCCCACAACCAGTGTCTGGTACAACAGAGCTTTCTGTCAAATTCTGTGGGTCTCAAGGTTCCACAGAATTGGATCCTAAAAATATTTATGCTACCTATTGAGAAGTTACAGTAAATATAAATTAGGTATCTATACAAACCTGTTTCTGAATAAGTTGAGTACTGGCTTTTTTCTTCCTTGCTTGAGCTTTCTGCTTCTGCTTTGCTGCTTTCTTGATTCCGTGACGCTGAGTACTAACATTCACAGACTTGGCACTACCATTAACATTTGATTGGCAACTACTCTTGTCTGTGGATATACAGTAATGGATAACATTATGCATTCACTAGGGTCTTTATCTTGCACCAAGATCCTACAGTAGAAAAGTGCAGAAACATTTTTCCAAAACAATAAATGTTAAAGATAAAATACTATTTCTATTACAAAATTGATCATCAGCCACCCGAGAAAAAAATACTGTATACTACAATGACATATGGAAAGCAACTAAAAAGAACAATTGCAATCAAAATACGGAGCATTTGTTTTCCACATTTGTTCATTCTACTAAAAAATATTCAAGATTTTTGTAGCTTAAGGCTGCACAATAGCTAAGATCGACAGTAAGAAAGATGTATTATTGAAAACCACATTAAATGGCCAGTGCCATAGGAGCACAAGTACCAGTGATTGGCCACCAAAACCTAATGTCTCCAAATAAATTGAAAATGCCATAACATACCAACACAACATGCAACCTCGTACAATAGAATTAGATAATAACATTCAATTGTTGCCATAAAACAAGTGACTGAACATTCAAGTGGCCAATGCCAGTAGTCACTAGGGAACCACTTGGATTGCAAACCAGTGTTCACTACATATAGTATACAGTATATGGATTATTGAAATGTTATGCAGAGGTGCAGAAGGGTAGACGATTATTACAGTACTGTAATAATTTCACTATGATTACTACAGTACTGTAATAATCACAGTATACAAGTTTATATTGTTGAAATTCTAGACTGTCAATGAATTGGCACAAGTCACAATGTCAGCACCAACACATTCTATTTATTATTTCAGCAAGTATTGCGTCCACAGAATATCATAATCATTATAATGGGATATGAGCTCACACGGCATTTTAAAGTTACATTACGAGCTCTTGTCCCAGCTCTGGGACAGCCAGTAATTCAGTACCTATTTACACACTAGGTTGTGTTTTCCTTTTTCAAATTATAAGTAAATATATATTTAATGATCTTGTAGACAAAAAAGGGTAGCTTATGTGGCAGATGACTGGTGCCTTTGCCATGCATGTATTACATACAAAATATATAAATACTGCAGTATATGAGCTTTACAGAATATTATGAACATAGCGAGTACATGTGTGAATAGTGCACAAGCAGTGGTAAGGAATAAGTGGAATCAGTTTAAGAGCGAGAGAATGTTTAACATATTTTACGTGAAGAATCATGGGAGGCACTCATATTTTGTCATAAGAAGTGGTACAGTACTGCTATGGGTGCTTTGCTGGAGTGTGAAAAATAAATGTTATTTAGTGTAGAAGGTATGATAAATGGATATGCAAGTATCCTTGATGAGCCTGGACTCTCAGAAATTAGATAACCTAATCATCCTTGCATCCAACATATCTCATATGTGGGTGCAAAGTAGAGAGGTAGTTGGGAACCCACAAAGAAAAGGCTGCAAAGAGCCTAGTTATGGCCTTTTAAAAGCAAGTGGTAACTTCCAACCTAAACTAAAAGAGGGGTTGCAGACAAACAGCAATAGCTTGGAAAATGGGTGCACCAAAGCTGTACCCAACCTAAGAGTGCCTCACCCTGCCCTCCAAATCCCACTGAAGGAAGAAGTAGGAAAACTTCAGTTAGAACATTTGTTGTAATATCCTGAAAAAATGCATCACACAACTGCCAACATTCACTACACCACCACCACCATCTCCTCAGGAGAGAGGACAATAAAACTGGCATTGAATGTAGTGAAAATACCTCTTGCTGGGCAAGCCCTGATGGCTCCCTGAAGCAGTCACTGAGATAGCTTTCCATTACTAGGTCACACGAGGCATGGGCATTCTGTTGGCCTACTGGGGACCAAAGCCAGAACCTTCACCCCTCCCCCCCCCCCTTCCTTCAAAGAGGCAAATGAAGCAGGGAATTGTCATGATAACTCTCTGGGAAAGCAACAAGAAAGTAGACATGACAATACAAACAACTGCATAGTTCATGAAAATGAAGCACCAAAACAGCCAACAAATGATTCTCAAAACATATTGATTCACTCTAAAACTGAGAATGAAATATCCCCTAGTGTGCAGAGCCACCAACAAGTGGCATCTTTGAGCTCCCGGCTTGAAGGCCAGCGACCACTTAAGTAATGCAAATCCTCCTTCACCACGCCAAACATCCACGGCCCAGTTAGGCAAAAATATGTTGATCAAACCACACACAGGAAAGTGAAGGGACGACGACGTTTTGGTCCGTCCTGGACCATTCTCAAGTCGATTGTAAATCGACTTGAGAATGGTCCAGGATGGACCGAACATCGTCGTCCCTTCATTTTCTTGCGTCTGGTTTGGTCAACATATTTCAGCCACGTTATTGCGACTCCTCGTCTGCAGGCAAAAATAGTTCCCACAAACCAATGAATCTCATTGGAGCAAGAGCTAAATGATCACTATGACATAAGAGCACACCAGGAACCCACCAAAGGTTCAACTTCTGACCAGGTCAAGACTAGACCCCCCTCCCGCATCTCCTTCTCCCAAAAGGTCAAACCAGAAAATGCATCAATCTAACTTCCTTGTAACCTTAGGCAATATATTTGGTGGGGCACCATATAAATCTGAGCAGTTGAAGGCTGCCTGTGGTAAGCATACTGTACAACCACAAGTACATTGTGGTTTTACAAGTAAGTAAACACTCAATACATTTTCTAGCAACTCTAGCTGTGGTGGGTATGTGGGCCTGCGGGCCGCTCCAAGCAACAGCCTGGTGGACCAAACTCTCATAAGTCAATGTCTGACCTCGGGCCGGGCTTGGGGAGTAGAAGAACTCCCAGAACCCCATCAACCAGGTATTCCAGGCAATGCAAGAGCCAGACATCCATACAGCTGCAATGTTGATAGAGGAATTATTTCATGAGCTGCAGTAGTATTTTGAGAGGACCACTGGGATTTAGCACTGACTAATAATAGAACTTTAATTCTCCAAGCAATGTAAGTGTGTAGCCACAATTGTTTGTTTCTCTGAAATAGGGTTCATTATGCAAAACCAACATGAATTTCTTATATAATGTTATGCTTTCTCCAAGATGGATCAGTCTCCAGCATTGTGCTCATTATAACCATAATCAATTTGAAATTTATAAAAAAGGTACATTAAGCATTTTTCCCACTAGCCTACAAAATCAATGGAATAGTTTTACCACTCTTACATTATCAAACAAATAGAGAACAGAATATCTTTTAGCTCACCAGACAAATCACTGTCAAACAGGTCTAAGCCCCTGTTGACTAGTGACCAAGACATCTCAGACGTGGCTCCCACTCTTCCAACGTAACAATGAAATAATTCGAGTCAACACACATGTAAAAAGCTTTAGAATACGAAATAAATGTAATGTTTGACCTGCCGCCCAAGATTAGCACATTATCGCTGCTAGCACCGCTCTCTGCTCATCCCAAACAGCCTCTTGGCTCCTCGAGTCTCGCAAGAGAGGATGCTCAGACCAGCTCTTGACTCGTTCCTGTCCACCAGTCACCCTGTAGTAGTTTAGGGTGAGGTTCTGGCGGGGTTTAAGGCAGCTGGAGTAGGGTGAGACAGCTGGAGTAGGGTAGGACAGCTGGAGGAGAGGGTAAGACAGCTGGAGTAGGGTGAAACAGCTGGAGGAGTCTGGTTGGTGGCAGCAGGAGCGGTGTTTGTTGTGGTGACCACCCGGCTGCGGCCACCAGCTGAGCCTCGCCACATGTTCAGTGGCTCCCGGACCCATAACTTCTCGTAAGCAATAATCGCTTTTATAATCTTAATCTGGTTTCTAATATATGGAAAAAATAATTGTACATCTTATTTTATCTGTCACTTTGATGTATTTACCAACAGCTAGAGTCAACAACGTTTGTTTATTTTTCAGTTGCATTGGAATCCACATAACGTTGTCCAAGATATAATAATAATAATAATAATAATAATAATAATAATAATAATAATAATAATAATAATAATAATAATAATAATAATAATAATAATAATAATAATAATAATAATAATAATAATTTATTTACAAGAATGTACAATTGGTTGGTGAGATTACGTTAGTGATATTTTTACATTCTTGCAAAGCCATTATTACGCATAGCGTTTTAATCCAGTCCCCGTGGTGTAGTGATAAGACACTCGCCTGGCGTTTGACTACACTAGTAAAGATTAAGTACTGTACTTAATTAGTCTTAAGTACTAATATTGGGGAAGTAGGTAGTACAAGATACAGTGTGAGTTTTAGTTATATAGATTTTAGTGTCACTTTGCCATATGAAATATATGCATTAATTAAACAAGCCCCGTGGCGCAGTGGTAACACTCGCCCCGCGCTTCACAAGCGATTTGGCCAGGGTTCGATTCTGGCTAGGAAGGATTGACAAGGCACCAGTTCTTAATTATACAACCTGTCCTCAGACCAAGCCTTTCCATCCAGTGGTCGACCCCAAAGACGCATTCATCAAGTTTAACATGCTGTTCATTCAAAACATGAATTTTCTCAAAAATAAATTAATATTGTTATATATTAGCATACTGTGCATATTTGGGCATTGATTAGGTTTGTTGTTTAAGGAGGGATGACGATCGAGGGATTGGATGCTCCCTTAGGTTAGGTGTTTATTAGGTTCTGTTGGCGATTATTTACCTGAGGACCACAGACACTATAGTGCCTCGAAGCTGGCGAGGCACAGGAAGCTGGCGGCTTGTTGCAGGTCCCCCCCCCCCTCCATTTGTATTTTCAAATTCAAGTCTTAGCATTTACGGCTTCAGCGGGTATGCGGTTCCATAAGTTTATAAGCCAATGGGGGGAAAAGTTTAGTTTTAAGCTTTAGTCAGTAGTATTAGTTTTAAGCTTTAGTCAGTAGTGTTTTTTTCCTGCCCGAAACGCTTTGCGTAATAGTGGCTTTAGGCATTGTATGTACTAGCTCTATCTATAAAGCCAACAAACTTTGTAAAATCTCTTTATGTATGTACCTTTGCCTAAATAAAAATTATTATTATTATTATTAAAAAGCATCTCTTCTCAGTCCTACATTGTGGCTTGTTGAGCTTGCAATCGTTGCTCCTTGTTTGTGTTACATCTGACCTTTTGAAGAAATTTTCAGGATCATTATCTATCAAATTGTTCAGTATTTTAAAAGCTACAAAGAGATCTGTCCTGTCATGCCTGGTTTGCAGTGTTGTTATCCTTGCGGCCCTCAACCGTTCCTAATACGAGAGTTAACTTAGCTCTAGAATGATTTTTGTTGCCCGGTGTTGCACTTTCTCCAGAGCAGCTAAGTCCTTCTGAAGATGGGGTCTCCATGTTTGGATACAGAAATCCAAATGGGGCCGCACCATAGATTTATACAACTGAATTACTACTACCTTCCTTTCCTTAAAGTGAAAGTTACCCTTGAAATAGTTCGAAGAGCTGATTTCTCCATGTTGCTGGTTTAGATTGAGCTTCTCGGAACAAAAAGTTTCAAGTAGTAGGGACTATGGTGAGCCCGTAGTGGACTTACCTGACACAGGAGCGGGGCTGTAACTCTGTGTGTTATCAGCATTATCATATTTAGTGTGCTGCTTTCTCCAATATACCACTAACGTTATAGGGACGGGGGGAGTGCAGAGGGAACCACATTTAAATTGGCCTCTGGTGGGAGCACCTCCCGCCTTCAGGTTATTCCCTGCGGAGATTGGCTGCGCTACTCCTGAGACAGCTGGTCTCCGGCAGAGAGAGCACATAGTGCTGAGCAGATCCCCTTGAATCCAAGCTCTTTACTTGCAATAACATTGCCTGTTGGCAGTACACCGAGGCCTTGCCAGTCTTTTGCTACATCCCTCATCTGTCTCCGAAGCCTAGGATAGCTTCAACATCTACCTCAGAAGACTATAGATACAAGGTGAGCCTCTTTAGGGGGGTAGAAATAGCCTAAGCTACTCTATCCCTTTGAGATGTATTTCTTTCTTGTCTCAATAAACATACTTGAACTTGAACTTGTGAGCCTCTGTTAATTATGTACACCTTATATTATAATCACGTGGAGGTTAATTCAGCCTTAACCAGAGTGGTATAGCTTCTATTATGTTGATGAGTGTCCAGGTGGAGAAGCCAGCAGTTGTATTACCAGGTTTGTTTATGACAGTGATTGGTAAGTTGTTAGTCAGATTTCCTGTACTCACAAGTGTTTGTAATTCAGAAGCCAGAGTGCCTTGCGAGGAAAGATTGTTTGACCCATGTTAGGATAGATAAAGGATTGGCAAAGAATAAGCAAGTCATTCGGGATAATTGTTGACATATTTTTTGTTGTGTATCTTTGTGATGCGTGTGAGATAAATGGATGATAATAAGTTGCCTCGTATTGTGACAAAACTGGCGTAGGCTGCTTCTCCTTTGGAGGCTTATGTAATCATGCAGTAATTCCATCTTTGGCTAACATGCAATAAAGTCCACACATGCAATAAAGTCCATCTTTGGCTAACTGCCAACAAACTCACCCTTAGCATTGACAAAACTTTCTATATTCTGTTTGGCAATAAATCCTCTAATCAAATAAATCTCAGAATAAACAATACCCAAATCTGTAACAAAATAGATGGCAAATTCCTTGGCGTTCTCATTGACCACAAGCTGAATTTCCAGGGACACATTCTAAATATATAAAAAAAAAGTTTCAAAAACTGTTGGCATTCTTTCTAAGATCAGATATTATGTACCACGCCCTGCCCTGGTGACGCTCTATTACTCCCTCATCTATCCATATCTCAACTATGATATTTCTGCTTGGGGCTCTACTACCCAAAATCATTTACGTCCTCTAATTACTCAACACAAAGCTGCTATTAGGACAATATCCAATTCTGGCCCCAGACATCACTCGGTACCCCTTACTCAAATCTCTGAATATGTTAGATATTAAGTCACTGCACATTCTCTCATGTGTATTATACATATATAAAACGCTGAACTGTAATGCCAATCCTGACCTCAAAAGCGTCATTGAAGGTTGTAACAGAACCCATGAGCACCATACCAGAAACAAATACAGTTTTGATATTCCAAGAGTACGACTTAATCAAACTAGAAATGCTCTACAAATCAAGGGACCCAGATTGTGGAATGACCTTCCCAATCATGTTAAAGACTGTACCTCTCTCATCCAGTTTAAGATAAAAACGAAGCACTACCTAATAAATTCCCTGTAACCTACTTTACCCCTATATTGTCAACCCATGTCTGTTTTTTTAAACAACGCTGTTTGTCGACCTAATTGTATTTGTGCTGCTTTTTCAGCCATGTTCCCCCCTTTTTTATTTTTATTTGTTCTCAATACATTTTATACTTTAATCTCAATTAGTATTAAGTTTTAGTCTTTAATGTTTTTCCTGCCCGAAACGCTTTGCGTAATAGTGGCTTTAGAAGGCAATACGGGCTCACCATAGCCCGTGTTACTTGGAACTTTTTGTTCCAGGTAGCGAATCTTTAACAACAACAAGTGGCTTTAGGCATTGTATGTACTAGCTCTATCTATAAGTCTATCAATTTTTGTAAAATCTCTTGTATGTATGTACTTTACCTGAATAAACATTTATTTATTAATTTTATTTTATTTCCAATCCTTTTTTTACCATGGCGGAACCCTTTAAAATATTTTTTCTTATACTATACCGAGGAACCCACAATCTAAACAGAGTAATCATTTTATTACAATGATATTTATTTTGTAATACATATTTATATTATTTTTGTTATTTTATGTTTACTATATATTTCTTGCAGAACCCGGCCTGAAATGTATGACCGCAGCGCCACATATGTTAAATATTATCATGTTAATTTTATATTAGCATGTTATATATCGTGCATACCGTTCATGCTTTAGAGGGGTAGTTAATTTTTGTTGCTGATGTGTATTCCTGGCAACACTAGTAGAGTTGACTGCGGATGCAGGTTGTATTAAAATAGAGTAGTGTATTTTGTGGTGAGTTCGTCACGTTGTGAAGTTTTGGCTGGGCTGCTTATTTCAGACATCTTGAGAGAGAGAGAATTCTTCATGTGAGGTGTTATAATGCAAAGTTCTTTGCTAGGTACTTAGATTTTCTCTCGGGATGATTGGAGATGTTATGTATTACCATGGGCAGTTTAAGGATTTGCTTACCAAATAAATATGTAAAGGAAGAGCCTATCAGTGGGCATATTGGCCTCTGATAAAATGTATTTGCGGATTTGTAGCCCACACTGCTGCGTCGAATCAGTGAGTAGGCTTTTAACAGTTGGGTCTTGAGTGGATAGTGGTTGACCAGAATGATTTTGGGTGGATAGTGGTTGACCAGAATGATCTTGGGTGGATAATGGTTGACCAGAATGATCTTGGGGGGATAGTGGTTGACCAGAATGATCTTGGGTAGATAATGGTTGACCAGGAAGGTCTTGAATGGACAGTAGTTGACCAAGAGGGTCTTGGATGGGTAGTGGTTGACCAGGGGGTCCTAAAGGCGCAGTACGGTACTTTGACAAATGTGTTTCATCCATGTTTCGTAAATGTTGTTTGTAAGTAATACAGAAGAGGCTTTTATAAATGTTTAATTGTAAAAATCACAAACAGAATAAGAAAATATATAGAACGTATTTAATATATATATATATATATTATATATATATATATATATATATATATATATATATATATATATATATATATATATATATATATAAACATCCACAAATTGAAATTGAGTTATCTTGGAAACATTTATATAAATTGTTAACTTCATTTCAAAGTGGTCCTGAGGCACCAGCAAGGCAACAGTTCCAGGTTAGACTTGAGCGATCTATCGATAGATAGACAGGAATTTGTTAGGTAAAATAAAGTCTCCACATAAGATACAGATCTCGCATCACCTTTGGCAGCCTCGTTCTCACTCCTGACCCTTTGGTTCTTTCTTGGCTGCTGAGTCTTCCTCTATACCTCATGTGTAGGCCTACTGTCAATTTGAAGGTCACTTGTCGGCCTACTGTCAACTTGAGGTCATGTGTAGGCCTACTGTCAATTTGAGGTTCATGCGTAGTCAGTTGTAGAGGACTATGAGCATCTGGAGGCGACTTCGGAATAGGTTTAGTTGATGTAACCTCCGTCTATGATGCCACCGTCTATGATTCCTCCGTCTATGATTCCACCGTCTATGATTCCTCCATCAATAACATTGCCGATGGATCCCTGTTGGCTGTTGAAACTTTGCTGGCTGCTAAAGCTCTCTTGTTTGCTAAAACTCTCTTGATTGCTGAAGCTCTGTTCGTTCCTGAACCTCTGTTGTTGTCCCTGGAAGTTTTGTGGTGGTCGGGAGTTGGACGGGCGGCTGAGGCTGGGCTGGGGCGCGCTGATGACATTGACAGCAGCTCCCAAGGCTGACTGTCCCGCGTCGAAACTCTTAGCGATGCCCTGAGACGCGGGAACCCCTGATGATGACTCCTGGCTGAGGGAGTTGACGTAGTAGTTGGTGATGTCTGGACCGGGCTCCTCACTTACCTGAGCCTGGAAACCCGAGTCTCCTTCCACATAGTAGCGGACCACTCTGGGGGGAGGACAGACATCAGGAGTTAAGATCACTTCTGAGGAGTGTTGTCTAATACAAGTCGTCCAAACGTAGCTTGAAAGATTTTAACGATATAAAGCCTTATATTAGATTGTAATATCACTGTTTCTAAGATTAGGTAAAGAATCTGTTAACTTGGAGCCAGCGATGCTCGGAGGACTTACCTGAAGAGTCCGTTGGGCTGAAGCCAGCGGTACTCTCCCTCAGTCCGTCCGGACGGGGAGAGGGACTCCTTGTGCTCCTTGGCGTCGCCCGTCTCAGGAACATTGACGCCGTACGCGAAGTTGTAGGGCGTCGGTGGCTGCAAGAACAACACGTCAGTATCAGGCTACACGTTTCTAGTCTTGTTTAAGGATATTTTTCTCATTGAGAGAGAGAGAGAGAGAGAGAGAGAGAGAGAGAGAGAGAGAGAGAGAGAGAGAGAGAGAGAGAGAGAGAGAGAGAGAGAGAGAGAGAGAGAGAGAGAGAGAGAGAGAGAGAGAAGAGGAGAGGAGAGGGAGGACAGAAGGAAGAGGGAGAGGAAAGAGGTATGGCTAGGTACTGAGGAGAGGGGAATGCATGTAACTGTTTATTTTAATAATCATTTTATAACTGTCTCAGGTTTGGTGCCTTCTTTTTGATAATTACTTACTTTATAGCTGTGTAAGTACTATTACACACACACACCAAGTATAACTGTAAACACAGACATACAGGAGAAGCAATGTGTGTTGACGTACCAGATTAGTGTCGACTCCCAGCTGAGGGGCGGCGCTGGCAGCCACCACCAGGGTCACCAGGAGGAACTGCAGGAGAAACAGCATGGGTTAGATTTGTTGTTTTGTTCTACATACGTACCAAAGTGAATGGCATCGGGCTCCTGTTAGCAGACTTAGAGCCATACCTTCCCACAGCTATACTACTTGTGTAAAGGAGGAAATGTATATGTTTATCTCTCAGAATGTTCGGTAATACGTTTATTGTTTGTGATGTGTGTCTATGTATGTATTAACACGATGTACTGAACGGGGTGAGAATAGCTTAAGCTACCTCATCCCTTTGTGTGAATTTTACCTCAATAAACTTATTTCAATTTCAGTTTCAATTCCCACAGCTGACATCTAGCCTAACCCTACTAGAATTCCCCGAAACACAGTTCAGTTATAGCTGAAACCTGCGCTGAATCACCTGGGTACAAGTTTTTCCCAAGGCCCAGTATTTCCAACTGGCGGTCGTCTAAGGCAAAGACTCCCGAGACACTTAGTCTTCATATATCTGATTTTAAAACCCAGGATTGAGATAAGATTGAGGATGAGATTGAGACAATTTAATGTTTTTCATGCCCGAAACGCTTTGCGTAATAGTGGCTTTAGGCATTGTATGTACTAGCTCTATCTATAAATCGATCAATCTGTGTAAAATCTCTTGTATGTATGTACCTTACCTAAATAAACATTTATTTATTTATTTTATTTATAAAGAGAACTATCCCCCCCTTCCCCCTGGAACACGTCCCTCGTACTTACAGTAGTTTTAGTTTAGTTCATTTATTATGCACCCCATACCCATCTTGTGGTCGGTAGTGGAAAGGGTTACAGAGGCACATAATGGTCTCAGGGACTGAACCCCACAATTCATTTAGCTAAGCAAGTTACAATCTTGATGAGCTAGTTACAAAATTCAGTATAAGTCGTCACATCAACAATGGGTTCGAGATACACGACAAGTACAGTTTCTAAATTAAGCAACTGACCTATGTGGAGAGCTAGTGTCACAATTGATATGTTTGTCCTGCACACCGCCCCCCATCCAGTGGGCAGCGGTGTATATGTTACAGTCACTTAGTTACTACCTACAGTTAGCAAACTGGGGATATTTGGCTAAAATTTCTGGTAGCAGATAATTTTGAATGAAATAGTTACACATTTTTGGAACATTAGTTATAGAATTGACTCTGAATTCACGTATCTTTTCTCACTCCATCACATAGTGACGGAGAATTTCCCTCTCTGTTAGGATTCCCCATTTTCCTTTCCATTTTGATTTTCCATTTTCTATGTAATTTCTGGAGAGCTGAAACTATACTAGACCGGGATCTTTGCTCACATTCTGGTACGCGCCTCCAGGCCCCAGGGGCCAGATTCACGAAAGCACTTACGCAAATACTTATGAACGTGTACATCTTTCCTCAATCTTTGACGGCTTTGGTTACATTTATTAAACAGTTTACAAGCATGAAAACTTGCCAATCAACTGTTGTTATTGTTATAAACAGTCTCCTGGTGCTTCAGGGCTCATTAACTGTTTAATAATTGTAAACAAAGCCGCCAAAGATTGGGAAAAGATGGACAGGTTCGTAAGTACTTGCCCCTGGGCCCCCCGTGGCTAACGACTAAACTTCTTCAGAATACGAAAAACATGTCTCCCAACCCGAAGTGTGTGTATTTATTCACCCAGTTGTGCTTGCGGGGGTTGAGCTTTGGCTCTTGGACCCCGTGAGTGTGTGTGTGTGGGAGGGGAAGGGATGCCGAGTCCGTCTTCAGTCAACACGACAACCTCTGATATCCCAAATTTATGCTAATCCCCGTGTGGCCTTTAAGTAAGGTCAGCAAATATTGACAGCGGTCCTCAGGTTCCTGCTGGAAGATGGTAAGACCTCCAGGAGGGGAAGTTGGCGGGGAGGTGTAGGAGGGGGAAGTTGGCGGGGAGGTGGAGGAGGGGGAAGTTGGCGGGGAGGTGTAGGAGGGGGAAGTTGGCGGGGAGGTGTAGGAGGGGGAAGTTGGCGGGGAGGTGCAGGAGGGGGAAGTTGGCGGGGAGGTGCAGGAGGGGGAAGTTGGCGGGGAGGTGTAGGAGGGGGAAGTTGGCGGGGAGGTGCAGGAGGGGGAAGTTGGCGGGGAGGTGTAGGAGGGGGAAGTTGGCGGGGAGGTGCAGGAGGGGGAAGTTGGCGGGGAGGTGGAGGAGGGGGAAGTTGGCGGGGAGGTGTAGGAGGGGGAAGTTGGCGGGGAGGTGTAGGAGGGGGAAGTTGGCGGGGAGGTGGAGGAGGGGGAAGTTGGCGGGGAGGTGTAGGAGGGGGAAGTTGGCGGGGAGGTGTAGGAGGGGGAAGTTGGCGGGGAGGTGCAGGAGGGGGAAGTTGGCGGGGAGGTGTAGGAGGGAATATAAGGCTATAATCTCCAGTCCTCCAAAGTTCTGACCTTCACTTTCACTTGGGTTGCTCACGCTCGCGCACGAGCGCGCACACACACACATTCGGGAATACTCAGTACACCCTACAGTGCATAATTTTAGGGGTCCTGGTGACTAAGTATAAATCGCTCGGGATTCGTAATCCTAGGGTCCGGGGATCGATCCCCGGCGTTGGCGGAAACAAATCGGCAGTTTCCTTCACACTGATGCATCTGTTCACTTAGCAGTAAATAGGTACCTTTGAGTTAGACAGCTGCTACGGGCTGCTTCCTGTGTGTGTGTGTGTGTGCGTGTGTATTCACCTAGTTGTATTCACCTAGTTGTATTCACCTAGTTGTATCTGCGGGGGTTGAGCTTTGCTCTTATGGCCCGCCTCTCAATTGTCAATCAACTGTTTACTAACTAATTTTTTTTCCTCCCCACACACACACACACACACACACACACACACACACACACACACACACACACCAGGAAGCAGCCCGTGACAGCTGACTAACTCCCAGGTACCTATTTCCTGCTAGGTAACAGGGGCATTCAGGGTGAAAGAAACTTTGCCCATTTGTTTCTGCCTGGTGCGGGAATCGAACCCGCGCCACAGAATTACGAGTCCTGCGCGTTATCCACCAGGCTACCAGGCCCTTTGTGTGTGTACTCACCAAATTGTACTCACCTAATTGTGCTTGTGGGGGTTGAGCTCTGGCTCTTTGGTCCCGCCTCTCAACCGTCAATCAACAGGTGTACAGGTTCCTGAGCCTATTGGGCTCTATCATATCTACACTTAAAACTGTGTATGGAGTCAGCCTCCACCACATTACTTCCTAATGCATTCCATTTGTCAACCACTCTGACACTAAAAAAGTTCTTTCTAATATCTCTGTGGCTCATTTGGGCACTCAGTTTCCACCTGTGTCCCCTAGTGCGTGTGCCCCTTGTGTTAAATAGCCTGTCTTTATCAACCCTGCCGATTCCCTTGAGAATCTTGAATGTGGTGATCATGTCCCCCCTAACTCTTCTGTCTTCCAACGAAGTGAGGTTTAATTCCCGTAGTCTCTCCTCGTAGCTCATACCTCTCAGCTCGGGTACTAGTCTGGTGGCAAACCTTTGAACCTTTTCCAGTTTAGTCTTATGCTTTACTAGATATGGTCTCCATGCTGGAGCCGCATACTCCAGGATTGGTCTGACAAATGTGGTATATACTGTTCTGAAAGATTCCTTACACAAGTTTCTAAAGGCCGTTCTTATGTTAGCCAACCTGGCATATGCTGCTGATGTTGTCCTCTTGATATGAGCTTCAGGGGACAGGTCTGGCGTGATATCAACCCCCAGGTCTTTCTCTCTCTCTGACTCTTGAAGTATTTCATCTCCCAAATGATACCTTGTATCTGGTCTCCTGCTTCCTACCCCTATCTTCATTACATTACATTTGCTTGGGTTAAACTCTAACAGCCATTCCTGCAGCTTGTCCAGGTCTTCTTGAAGCCTCAAGCTGTCCTCCTCTGTCTTAATCCTTCTCATAATTTTAGCGTCGTCAGCAAACACTGAAAGGAATGAGTCTATACCCTCTGGGAGATCATTTACGTATATCAGAAACAGGATAGCAAAAGATTTTAGATAGATTTTTTTTATCTGTCTATCTATTTTAGATAGATAGATTTTTCTAGACCATTCCACCAGTTTGTCCAGGTCGTCCTGTAGTCTCTGCGTATCTTCATCTGTCTTGATTCTTTTCATAATTTTTGCATCATCGACAAACATTGAGAGGAATGAGTCTATTCCCTCTGGAAGATCATTTACCTATATAAGAAACAAGATGGGTCCAAGTACAGAGCCCTGTGGGACTCTGCTGGTGACATCTCGCCACTCTGATGTCTTCCTCCCCTAACAGTTACTCGCTGTTGTCTGTTGCTTAGATACTCCCTTATCCACTGGAGCTCCTTACCTTTTTCACTTGCCTGTTGCTCCAACTTTTGCAACAGCCTTTTAGGAGGTACTGTGTCAAAGACTTTCTGACAGTCCAAGAAAATGCAGTCTGCCCATTCTTCTCTTTCTTGCCTAATTTGTGTTGCCTAGTCCTATAATTCTGTTAAACCTGTGAAGCACGATTTACCATCTCTGAACCCATGCTGGTGGTGTGTTACAAAGCTATTTCCCTCCAGATGCTCTACGAGCCTTTTCCTCACGATCTTCTCCATCACCCTGCATGGTATACAAGTTAGGGAAACTGGCCTGTAGTTCAGCGCCTCTTGTCTGTCACCCTTTTTGTATACTGGGACTACGTTAGCTGTCTTCCAGCTTTCTGGTAGGTTTCCTGTTTCCAGTGACCTGTTATACATCATAGAGAGTGGCACACTTAGTGCTTCTGCACCTTCCTTTAGTATCCATTGTGAGATTCTGTCAGGCCCAACAGCCGTTGTCACATTCAGCTCTAACAGATTCCGTTTGACCTCATCACTGGCGAGGTCAAATTGGTTTGTCTCCTCATTTAGTGCAGAGGATTCTCCTTGTTTTATTGTGAAGACCTTCTGGACTCTTTTGTTGAGTTCTTCACACACCTCCTTCTCATTCTCTATGTATCTGTTCTCCACTTTTCTCAGTTTCATCACTTGTTCCTTCACTGCTG